TGAAAGTAGATTTGAGGAAATGCAACTTGACCGAGATTGACATTGCTCATATTACTGACACACTGAAAAATATGCCGCAACCTGTCGAATTGGATCTGTGGGGAAATTAGACCCTCGGTGAGCTCAGTTAATGTATGGTCTCATTTGGCGAAAATCAAACGGATCCACAAAGTACAGTTGGGGAACTGCAACTTGACCGGGGGTGACATTCCTCATCTTGCTGATCACCGAGTAAAATGCTGAATCTTGTTGAATTGAATCTGTCTCGGAATAAGACCCTTGGTGGCTCAAAAGACCCATGGCCTTTCCTGACGAAATTAACAAATCTTCAAAAGCTTTACGTCAACGATTGCAATTTAACGGATGACGACAGAGCACAGATTGCTGAAGCAATTGTTTAAATTGAACCACAACTTAAAAAGGGCTTGATTTTAACTACCAAAACACTACCCGTCTAATTTGAACTCACAACCATTACGCTCGTTAACAAACAATGAACGATTACTTCATCGCCCAGTTCGGAATCAGCGCATTTTTAAGGAAAGCGAACTTATCAAGTGATTCCTGCTCACTGAAGTACCCCCTCAACGACGACCATTAAAGATGCTGCGCAACATAGGACGTCATTAGGCCTATGCGCCAGGAAGCCACGTGAAGTAATCAAAGGGCACATGTTCCTGTATCTATTGATGTAGGTTTCATTTCCATATTTGATTTAGTTGGCGATTATCCGCGAAAGAGGGCAATGGTTTTTGGCTTATATTTTTTTTTATCTTTTCTTTTTTTAATTTCTCCATTTGTCTACACGGCCTCCTCCCCGTAAAGTATTTTCTACCCTAAAAAGACTAAAAAAATACTCCAAATCTGGCAAACGTGGTGGCATTTGAAAGAGCAATGTGTTCCCGTATCTACTCATGTAGGTTTCATATCCATGAATATCCATGTGTTACATAAATTACCCATTTCTCAAGCGTATTTTACGTCTGACAGACGCGACTAAGCATTTGAGCGG